TGCATAGAGCTTACATTCTAGAGTAAATATATCCAGAGAGAGAGAGAGAGAGAGATTTTTTCAATTGCCTACAATGAGCCAGACACCATTAATGTACATCATTTCATTTAATCCTTACCCAAACCTTGATAATTATGTATTATTGCCCTAAATTACAGAATTGAAAATTGAGACTCAGAGTGGTAAAGTGGTTTCCCAAGGTCTGAAAACCCATTAAATTATACAACAGGCTTTCAAATAAGTAATATCTAACCATAAGGCCCACTATTATCCAAAGAGTTACTACTAACTGAAAGAATACACATAAACAGTATGTAGAACAAACAGCCTGTCACAAGATCAGAGAACCCACCCCTTCTACTGACACATTCATTTTGAAAGGCTAGGTCTTACAGGCTTTCCTGATTTCTAATACCTGGGATCCTGCTTCCCTACAGAGATCTACATTACTTTATTAGTCTTTGATACTTTCTAAATTTTCCAGATTCTAGCTTTGGCTTCCAATGTGTCAACACTGCTGATTTTCTAGACTCTGGTCTCTCCTTTCCAAACCAGATCTTCACAGGTTTCTGTCTTTCCCAATTCAGTTGAATCTATGAGCTTTCTGGAACTCATTCATTCTTCCATTTTTAGTTAATAATTAAAATTATGGGACTAGAATCTTCTAGGCTGCTTCTAGGAATGGAATCTGGATGCAATTAAAACAGAGAATCTGTTCAACTCTAATCCACTAGCTCCCTCTGGCTTAGCTATTCAACCAGTTAAAAATTTGTTCTTTCTCGTTTTGTGTATGTATGTGTTTTAATCTCTCAAGATTGGGTTATGATAAAGTTCACAACTCCTTTTTATTGTTTTTGTTTGTTTTCAATTTGACAAGAAAATTGTACACATACTTATATATGTATGTAGATGTGTATATATATGTTTACATAAATATAAATACAAATATACATTTATATGTATTATATGTGTATATATATATTACAAATATAAATTTATATGTATATGTAAAAGAATAAAAGAAAATATACATAAAGAAAAGGAGAATAATCACCTATAAAATCTCCCTACTCAGAAACAAGCTTTGCATAGAATCTTACTATCCTATAAACTTCTTCCTATCTATAGTAAGACTTTCTGTAAATAATTCAAAATTTGCTGATTTATTCAATCAACCAACTCACCCAATCTAAATAAAATAAGTCAATTATATTAATCATTCCACTAAATTGCTGTTTAATTAAATTGAATAGAAATCCACATCAAAGTAATATAGGTAAAAGTATGTGGCAAATAGGTTATTTATTGTATGCATGTGGTTTATATATATGTGTGTGTGTGTGTATATATATATATATGGCAGACATTTTATATAAATAGTAAAATATTAAACATTTCTAACTTGAAGGGAACCTAAATCTCTTTCTCAAATTAACTTACCACATAACCGAATCTACCAGAGCTTATGAAAATTTATTACATTTCATCTTGAACCCCATTTGGGAAAAGGGACAAAGTTTCTCTTCAAATTATAACTCACAAAGCTACTGCAATTCTATATGCACATCATATTGATTAATAACAGTGAAAAGAAGCTCTGCCTTCAACTTGGCACAATTCTATCTTCAGGGAATCATCACGTTATCAGGAGATGTGCAGTTCCGTGCTGGTAACATAGACCACTGTGCTCAATTTTGGGATTTGACAAACTAAAGTTTATTCAGTAGGCTTTGGCTAATTTCCTTTGGGAAATCAGTTCAGTAAAATCCATAGACAGTGCTGGATTTTTGATTTTTAAAGGGACAAATTCACAAAATTAACACTTTCCAAACCTCTTCATAACCAGGAACATATATAGGCATACACTTACACACTTACATGGCTTAAAAATCACTGGTATCTGTGTGACATAACCATTCCAAACTAAGGCAAAATTTAGGTCTTGACCAGAAGTCTGAACAGAACTCATCACTTACATAAAATATTGATTCCACAGGTGTAAATCTAATTAGTCAATCAGTATTAAACACAATTCTTCCTGGCACATTTAGGGAAAGGTGAGCTATTAAAGGTACAATTTGGGAAGGAGCAGAAGACAATACTGTTTAAAATCATTAAAAAGTCCTGTTGGGTTCACTTTTTAAAAAGTTGTGAGCTATGTTAATATAATGTTGGCACCAATATTTCCATTTATGACTGTACTTTATCTAACTGAAATTAATTCTTAAAAAAGTCTGTAGTTATAATTTATTTTTTTAAGATTTATTTATTTTAGAGAGAGAGAGAGAGAGTGTGGAGGGGGAGGGGCAGGAAGAAAGGAAGAGAAAGAATCCCAAGCAGACTCCCTGCTGTGCTTGGAGCCCACCCTGAGATCATAACTTGAGTGGAAATCAAGAGTCCTACGGTCAACCAACTAAGCCACCCAGGCACCCCGGTAGTTATAATTTAAAAAGCACCTCCTTAACTTTTTTTTTTTTACTTTTCTTCTTTTCCTACCTGTTTTCCTTCTTAAATTAAAGTTGATTAACAAAGTCTTCTTTCCTACCTCTTCTTAGGTTATTGGCACCCTACAAAGGCCACTGAAGCATCCCTTTCAGCTAATGGAATATCTCTAGGCTCTGCTTCAAACTTTCGTGCTCCTGTCCTGTGTTGAAAGATAATTCGCCATAAGTTTCTCCTGTTTCTGCACATCTTGGAAGCAGAGACACTGAACACTTGCTTTTGTTCCTGACTGACTTTTTGAGAATGTTTGTATAGTGAACATTCTTGAAAGACAGAAGTAGTTTTCCCCACGGAGCAAACAGCAGGTTTGTTTACAGTCCAGTATAATAAAGGTAAGTTGTCCCTCTGCAGCAAAGGGCAGGTTTGCTTGCTGCCATTATTAAAAAAAAAAAAAAATGAATTTCTTAAGCTCAGGGAGCTTCAGCTATGACATAAACCCAGTGTGTATAGGTGTCACCTAGCCCTCATCATATCACCCTGTAGTAACTGGAGCTTGGGGACCTGATGCAAAAAAAGTGACAATACTCTGGCTACTGCTATCACTGTGGGTAACAAACGGCCCTTTGTCTCTGTTTTCTGCCAGCATCCAAGAAACTGTGGCAGATCTTTCACGGTTCTTGACATTTTGTTTCCCCAGTTTCTGTCCTTCTGCTTTATAAGTAGATTCTCTTCTCCACCCAGATCCTTTAGATGTTGACTCGTTTGGTTGGTATATTTTTCTTTTCAGTTTCTTTCCACATGTCTGCCTCCTTAGTTGACCTTTCCGTCTCAGGTTCCCATTTTTCCAGGGAAAAAAAGAGGATCTGATTAAATGATAAGTGACAAGGAATTAAAGACAGAAGGATAAAAAGGATGAAAGAGAAAGTGTGAATACCAAGGCAAGTATGGCTTATACATGGAGCATGGACCCAAACCCATACCACAGCTGAGTTTGTTATTCTATCCCTATTAAAGACACTGTTTTAGAGATGTATTGGAGCTGGCACCTGGAGGGGCTGCATTACTGGGGGGGGCGGTGCCTTGCTTATCTGACAGTTTGACTCTACCTTTTCATTTCTTAGTGTTCACTGCTAAAAATATTACTTCTTTACCTCTTTTTCCAACCCTCCAACAATAAAATCAGTAGACTCATATTCACATAAATACAGTTAGTGATAAAATAATCAGGAATTTTTACTTGCTTATTATCTCTTATTTCAGCGAGTTTCAGAGGGATGAGCAGTAGTAGCCCCCTGCAACATGAGTCCTGAGAATCAGTAGAAACTTATTATAGATGTAGATTTCCAGGTCATATACACCATAGATTCTGATTTAGTAGAGTTGATTTCCGTTTTTGGTGAGCTTCTTGGGTGAATCTGCTAAAGTTTGTCTACAGAATATGAGAAACTCTGCCCCAGAAACTGTCTCTTGATCTGGTAATATGCACATTTGTTCAGTCTCAAAGAGATAGTTGAACCCCAAATATATAGATTAGTCACAAATGTTAGTTGATGGCAATGATTTGCCTTGACAGACACTCCATTGCCAGGTGTGTTTTCATAGTTATTTTTTGGCCCATGAAATTGAAAGATTCATATTAATATGGAAAAAAACTACTTAGTTTAAACATTTTGGAATATATTTGGAACGATTCCTTCTCCTTATGATATGTACATCACTAGCAATGGCCATATACAGAAAGGTATATATAAGTGGAATGAAAAAAGTTGAAGCTGTAGCTTATAAACACCTTTAGTAAAATACTGTTATCCTAAAAGTATCTTATTTGAGTAAGTTAAACAATGTGAAAACTTTTGAAAGACTAATAAGGGGGTGTTTTTGAAGAGTACAGACTATTTCAGTCATTGCTCTTGGGATCATAAGATATAAAATAGGATGTTAGTGAAAAACATCTTCTATCAGTGTTTGAGATGCATGTAGAGAGGGTGTAACTTAATGGCATTCGTAGTTCTGCAGTTATCTCTTATTATTCTAACTCCTAATAATGATGCTCATGGGAAAATTCTTGATTCATTTTCTCAATATTTTTCAAACTAAATAGAATTAAATAACCCAAGTAATAGAAATATCACCACAACAGCTCTTCTCCTTGAGTACAGACCAGCATATTTAATTTCCATCGGGTTTGATTGGGAGTTTCACACTTAAATTTAATCAGAAGATACTCTAGGTGAAACTCATGAGAACAAAGAAAATGCCATGTGTCTACAGTACTCTAGAGATAGAGATACTGTAGTTTAGAATGCCAGGAACTACAACACTATTGGAAACATTTCCATCTGCACATCAAACTGAATTATTGTGGCATTACTTGGGACAACTAATGTTACATAAAACAATTTGATCGATACTCTAACATGGACACACTCTCACTATCAATAGGTGGTCTTTATCAATAAGAGCACCTCTTAAAAAAAAAGCAACATAAATTCAGACAGTGTATTTCAGATATTTATCTTTTCACTAAAGTTATGTTGACAAAAGGTTACAGGACTTACAGTTTACGACAAGTTTTACTTTTTTCACATCTGGGAATGACACATCATTTTCCGCACTGCATTCATATTCTCCAGCCTGGTCCCTTGTAATTCCATAAATGTCCAAATATTGTCCATTTTCAAATGGTTTTGCTACAAGAAAAAAAGTACAGCATGTTTAATTGTAGCCGCCTGAGGCTTCATTCAAATAAAATAACAATCTCCTGTCTTCCTATTAGATACTGCTGACAAAACAATCCCAAATGAAACTGGGGAATTATTAAACCCTTTGTTCTCCTATGTTCAGAGGAAAAGTCAGAGAAAAAAGCAGAAACTGAACAAGGGATACTATAACAACTGTTTCCCCTGAACAGGATATACATGTGTTCTTTTTAATTGATTGCAGTCTCCTAACCTCGTCACACATCAAATAGAGCTCTACACATTTCTGTAATTGAGTTCAACAACCTTCTAGCAGTGTAGATGAAATTCACTAATATGGCTTGGTACATATTGACTTATACAGTGTAAGCTAGCAAGCTGACACTTAACCTAACTAAATGTTGCTTTTCTTTTGGGAAAATTTCATACTCATTCTCAAGGTTTCAAGGCGGATGGCTTGATAAGAGTATAGAGATACATTAAACCATTGCTGCATTTCAGTTTCCAAAATTACTAATTTTTTAAGGGAGGCACATTGTATATACTATATATAATTGATCCAATAAACTTCAGGAAAAAATATGGTTCTCAAACTAAGAGTTAAGTGGTGGTAAAAACTAAATTATCTTTATTTTTTAATATCCCAAGAAAAATATTATTTGACTAAAAATAGCATTAGAGTAAAAATATAAGGACATAATCAAAGACGAAAAAAACACTTGCAAATGAATGAAATTTGAAAAAAAGGACTCCTTTCTGAAATAACAGAATTTTGATTTACTTGAAAGCAGAGACTCAGGCAGGAGGGATCCTGACTATCAGATGCAGTGGAGGAAGAATGAGTAATTTCTGGGGTTGGGGGGGCGGCTCTTACACAAATCTTGAAAAATCACATTTCAATGCATACCCAAGAGAACTGGAAAATGATACAATTATTCCATTAAATGGTCTGTTTTCAAAAGTCAACCTTATTTCTGTTTTTAGTCTAGTCTCTTGCCATACTACATAATGCTGTAGAAGTTAGAAAACTAGTAAGAAGATTCAATTTTATATGAATAGAGCAAAATGGAATGTAGTTATGGTGCTCCAAATCCAAAATCTATGTCAATTAACAAAAAAATGTTTTACCTGTGGGCTCCCTTGTCTGGGCCAATATCAGTCACTACACAGTTTGCCCTCAGGAAGCTATGACTGTGTTAATTGAAACCTGGAGTGTTTAGAATATATTTGATTACATCATTTCTCCATTTTATCTGGCTGCTCCTAAATTGTACATAGGGAAGAGTTACACTTCTAAAATGATACTTGGCTGATATGCTATTTCAGTTACACAGAGGTGAGCTTACAAAAGCCGCAATTGCCCTCAAATCCATATTCTTAAAATCTGATTTTATAACTATTTCCTTAGCTCAACCCAATGCCCTTATCTGACTCCATACATTAATATAATATTGATTTTCTACTGTTTCCTTCTTTTTATTTTACTTTCACCCTTACAATGAAGATTATCTAGGCTTAAATGTGTCTATAAAATCTATTGAAATATAGGGAGGATGAAATCCTTATTCACATCCAAAAATTTTTAAAGTGTAACTTGAATTACAAAGGAGATATTAAATGCAAATTAAAGTATGGGTAAAATTGATATACCATAACTAAATAACCTAGTTGGCCAGTCAAAAAATGAAGCCAATCATGTGTGAGAAGGTAAAAAAATTGTGAAACTTCATAAAAACAAATTTATTAGGGTCTAATTTATTTTTAATATTAAAATGTTACATGAACATTCCTATTTCACATCTATTGAATGTTTGTCCCTGGGAGATGTGTGTGTGTGTGTCTGTGTGTGTGTGTATAATTAGTGGTCTAAAACAGCATTGAAGGGTAGCTTTCAGCTTTGAGTTTCTGATAGGGATCACAGGCTGAGATAGGTCCTTACACTCTGCTTTCTCCTTTCCCCTTATATAGTTCCTCTTTCTGCTGCCTGGATACTTTATCCTTCAGTCCACTCTGATAACTTCTCATCTTTCAGGTCTCTGATTAACCAATATGTCCTCAGAGAAACTTTTCTTGATTTAGTCACTCCTCAGTCTAGTAGCTCCATGTTACATCCTTTCAAAAATGAAACAAAAAAGCCTGCACTAATGTTATGTAGCATATACATGTTTGCTACTACTTATTTAACTATTAACAACTTTTAAAATACTTATCTTTCTGTTATACTATGAATTTTGTGATATATGGACTCCTGGGGGTGGCTCAGTCAGTTGAGCTTCCAACTCTTGGTTTTGGCTCAGGTCATGATCTCAGGGTCCTGAGATGGAGCCTGGTCTCAGGCTCCATCCTCGGCGGGGAGACTGCTTGAGATTCTTTCCCTCTCTCCTTGCCCCTCTCCCAACTTGCGCATCCATGTTCTCTCTCTCTCTCTCAAATAAATACATAATTCTTTTTTTAAAAAATTCTGTGTGGGCCGCCTGGGTGGCTCAGTCGGTTAAGTGTTTGCCTTCAGCTCATGTCATGATCCCAGGGTCCTGGGATCGAGTCCCGTGTCGGGCTCCCTGCTCAACGGGGAGTCTGCTTCTCCCTCTGATCCTCTGTTGCTCCCCCTGCTTGTGCTCTCTCTCTGAATAAATGAAATCTTTAAAAAAATTCTGATATAAAAGGCTACATCTTACTCAATATTTAATATTGGCTCTATGAACATTTGTTGACTATATCATTAAAGAAAAATAACATGATAGAAAGTCCAGAAAATATGACATTTCATTAGAGATTAATTTTCTTTTTTTTCCATATTTAAATAATTTTTATTGTTATGTTAACCACCATACATTACATCATTAGTTTTTGATGTAGTGTTCCATGATTCATTGTTTGAGATTAATTTTCTTATTCAAACAATTGTTATCCATGACACCATAAATAAAAATAATATTTACCTTTCATTGATTCCTTATTATGTGTAAGGTACCATGATAAATGCTTTTCCTTTTTTTAAAGATTTAATTTATTTTAGAGAGAGTATGAGTGGGGGGAGAGGCAGAGGGAGAGAGAATCTCAAGCAGACTCTCTGCGGATTGTGGGGTCTGACTTGGGGCTCAATCTCACAACTCTGACATCATGACTGAGCTAAAATTAAGAGTCAGACACTTAAGTGACTGAGCCACCCAGGCACTCTGATAAATGCTTTTCAATATGAATTCCTCAGTTAACCTTAGGTAGATGCATCAGGTAGGTTCTGTCATATAGAATAGATTTCTATATCGTTAAAGAAGTTAAATATCTTGTTAATGGATCCAGTGACTGATATGAAAGTAAGAATTCCAAAACCTACATGCCTGATCTGTATGCCACTGAAATGCTACATTAGTTTTCTCACTTGTAAATGGTAATAATAAAAATGCTTCTTCACTGCAAGAACTAAATTAGGCCATATATGTGTAATCCTTGCTCTCAGAACTATAAAGACCATATGGATATTGATTTGATCTCTGAATTATTAGTTTTCCATAGCTGCCATAACAAATGACCACAAATTTACTGGTATAAAACCATATAAATTTATTATCTTATAGTTCTATAGGTCAGAAGTCCAGAACAGGTCCATGGTAACTGGAATAAAGGGGCCTCCAAAGATATTCATGTCCTAATTTTTGGAGTCTGTGACTCTATTAGCTTTCATGGAAAAAGGGACTTAGCAAATGTGTTAAGTACCTTGTGATAAAGAGACTATGATGGAGGGCTCAGTCTAATCATATGAGTCTTTAAGTGTAGCATGTGGAAGAGCGGGTCAGTGAGATGTGACATGAGAAGTCACCACAGATGACTTTGAAGATGGAGGAAGTGGAACACAAGCCAAGTGGAACGAGCCAAAGCTGTGTCCTCTGGAAACTGGGAATGGCCCTCAGCCAACAGCAAAAAAAATGGATTCTCCTCCAGAACCAAAAAAAGAACACAGCCGGTCAATACTTTGCTTATAATCCGGTACAACCAGTATCCGATTTCTGAACTATAGAAGTGTAAAATAGACGTGTTTTAAGCCACTAACTTTGTAGTGATTTGTTACAGCAGAAATATAGAACTCATACAGGGCCTCCTTGGACTAAAATCAAAGTGTCAGCAGTGCAGGATTCCTTTCTGGAGGCTCATTTGCTCACTCAGGTCATTGGGAGAATTAAGTTTCTTGCTACTATGGTACTGGAGAACCTCATTTCTTTGGTAGAAGGCCATTCTTAGCTTCTAGAGGTCCCCTCATTCCTTGCCTCTTAGCCCCTTCCTTCATCTTCCAAGCCAGCAAATGGTGGGTTAAGTGCTCTCTCACTTTGAATCTTCAGGGCTTTTTTTCCAGGTGCATCTCTCTGAACGACTCTTCTACTTTTAGGGACTCCTGTGATTCAACTGAATCCATCTGCCTAATCCAAGATAATCTCCTCATCTCTAGTTCTTAACTCTAATCACATCTACAAAGTCTCTTTACCATGTAAGGTAACATAGTCACAGTTTCCAGGGATTAGGACATGGACATCTCTGGGGGTCATTATTCCACCAACCACACTTGTTCAGTAAACGTGCAGTTATTTCGCACATACAAATTGTGATCTGCCTATAATTTTCAAAGACAGCAGGAAAAGAAAATGTGTGGTTGAACTGATAAAGTTGCTGAGTTCATTAATACCTCTGAAAAATATGAGTGAAGTTCAGAAAAATAAATTTAATTAAGACATTCTTTTGGAAGCAAATGCTTTTCAGGAGAAGGTACTGCAAACCTAACAGATAATGTGATTCGGGGAAGTGTTATTAGAGCCCAAAAGTAGTGGGGTTTGAAGAAGCAATGAGAGCAGGGTGTATGGGTAGATAAAATCATGGAAGCCACCTACTGAAATGGTTGCAACAGAGGTTTCAGAAGCATACAAAAGCAACCAGTAAATAAAAGGCTCAGCATTTTGATTTGCTTTGTTACATATATATATATAATAGTCCATCAGACATTA